AGACTTGGTGAAAGGAAGGGCCGCCATCAACCAGTGAATTTTAAACACGTCATTCCTATGAAAACAGAGAAAAGAATTAAAAGAAGATCTCATCCTCCCAAAGGACAGCCTTGTGTGTTCACAGGAGGCAATAAATATAACCTAAGAGAGCTGCACACGTGAAGCCCTTCTTAAAACGTACCTTCCGCTGGCACAAAGGCCTTGGGTAACGCCACCTCTGAGGCACTGATGAACCTGGGCCCTGAGCTGCAAGTGAGCCACCGAAGCCAGGCACGATGGGATCCAAGTCCCACCAAGATGGAAACCTAACCCAGGCTGCCAGCTTGCTCCCCGGAAAGCACTCTGGGAAAGCCTCAGAGGCAAGACCGAGGCAGACGCCTTACATCCCTGGGAAGCAGAAAGGCTTAGGGGAGCCTGCAGCCCAGAGCAGAGCAGAGGGTGGGGAGGGAAGAGGGAGCAGAGGAGAACAGGCAGCGTGAACCAGCTACAGCCAAGGGGAAAGCACCGCGGTCATGTCCCCGCCTTCCCTCACGGCTGGTGTCTGCCACACACACCGGGCAGGGAGGTCTGGTGCCACCCCCACCCTACACAGGTCTGCGTCCACCTGTGGGCCGTGATGTCCACCAGGCAGTGAGCCGCCTCTCCCGTTCCCGTTCCCATCCCCCCTAGAAATTAGCTTAACGGGACTCCTAAGGACATATGGAGAAAGACGAGCACAGCTGTTAATGCAGTACAGAGACTGAGTGAGAGCTGCAGGAGACACTCTCAGATACCCGCCACAGCCCTCAAAGCCGCAGCGGGAAAAGCGGACCGGGTGCAGCTCCTGTTACCCAGACCCTTAACCGACGGGCCAGACAGAGAGCTCGGGGACAGAGCAGGAGCCCACGGGTGTCTGGAGGTGCCACACGACACCAAGTTGGTGGGACAAGGTTCAACTGTTTCATAACTGGCACGAAAGTCACCTCAAACCTACGTACAGAAAAAAATAAAGTTGGTCCTCATTTCACACCTGCATAAAGGGGGACGCTGGTGGCCTTCAGCTCCAATGTGAAACATGTATTTTGTGACCTTAGAGTAGAAAATGGCTCCTAAAGAGTCAAGAGATACTGCCTAAAGGACTAAAATTAAAAGACTAAAGATTTTCATTTGACAATAAATACCACAAACAAGTGTAACAGACTGCAAGAAAAAAACTACAATGTCTAAGACAGATAAGGGATTGGGGCCGGCAGGTGGCGTGGTGGTTAAAGGCACTGGATCCCCACATGGTCAACTACGGTTCGAGGCCTGGGCCTGGCAGCTTACTTTCTTGCTTTCCCTTTCTCTCTCTGCTCTTTCTGGTCAAATTGAAAAATAACAACAACAAATGGCATTAAATAAATAAATAAATAATTCTTTAAGACAGACAAGGGATTAATATAAAAAATATGCAGGACCAGCAGATGGTGTAATGATTACGTTGCTGGACTCCCACGTAGTTGACTGCAGTTCGAGTCCCAGACCCGGCAGCTTAAATTCACGCTGGGCATATGTGCATGCATGCATGCCCAAATCCAGAGAAGAGGATGGAGGACAAAGGACTGTGGCACATTCCCCTAAGGGCTGATTTCTCACTTTCTTTCTCTGTCTCTCTGGCAAGTGTGCATGCCCTATTGCAAAAATTCTTCTCTAAAAAAAAACATGAAGAAGAATATGCAAGAAGTCCATGCAAAGGAACAGGAAAAAGACAGAAAACCTAATTCGAATACAGGCAGTCATACCAATGGGAACTTAGAAGGTTACCAAGTCTCTGAAGTGATAATCCACACCACTAACATTCAAAGAAACGCGAAATAAAATGAGGTACCAGGTAGCACCTAGCAAACTAGCGAAGACGATGCCAGAGTGGTGAAGACGGGCAGAGGGCCTTACGCACCGCTGGTAGAAGACAAGTGCGCAGCCGTACTGGAGAACAAGCCGGTAGAGCAGCACCAAGGATCTTCCACGAGAGCATGCCCTTGACCAGCACGCTCCTGCAGGACTGTGCCTGAGGTCGCCCCGACCCACAGGTCATCTCAGGAGGCAGGAGGGAGGCTCCTGACAGCAAGGCCCACACGGCAGAGGGTAGCGGCAATCTAGGCAGGTGGCCCGGGGGATGCAGAAGTGCCAAGTGGGGGTGCCAGTCTCCTGGGAACGCCGAGTAGTTACAACTGAGCTAGCTAGACACAGCCACAGGGTGCGCCAACATGCCAGAAAGAGACAGAGAGAACAGTAAGTGAGAGTGAGAGATCACCCCCCAGGGGCATGGCCACGCCGCATCCTCTTCTCCTCCATTCTAGAGAATTCGGGCACGCTCACATGGGTGTCCGACGTCATTTTCAAGCCACTAGGTCTGGGACTCGAACCCCAGTCAGTCATGTAGGAGTTCAGCACCTTAACCCCGTCTCCTGCAGGGGCATGCCCTATAGCACCGTGGTTAGCGCCTGCACAGGGAGCTAGATCTCTGCATGGCCAACTGCAGTTCAAGTCCTAGCCCGGGTGGCTTAAAAACCATGCTAGGTCTATGTGTGTGCCCCAAAGCCTGACGGGACAGAGAAATGGTGGAAAAAGAACTGTGATACAACGCCCTACAGGGGGCGGGGGGGTATATTTTCTCTCTCTGTCTTGCAAGCACATGTGCCTTCTGGCAATAAACAATAAAAATGACAAGGATACTACTGAGTGAGACACGTACAAGAGCAGTTATCGACAGGGCGGCGATTCTACAAATTCCAGATACAGGTAGCACCAATTAACGGTACTTGTTTCTAAGGACAGATATCAGCTGTTTATATTAGATACGTTGGAGTGGCCATGCATGGTTGAGAGGGGATGGGAGAGAGAGGAGGAAATGAGAAAAAAAGAAACAAAAGCGGGCCCCAGCACTGCTAATGACAGTATGCCATGAGCCGACGCACACTCAGTTTCTGGGCTGACTTCCTCCCCGGTACTTTCCAGAAAGTTCCAGTGCTCACCTACTCGAAGGTCAAAATGAAAGCCCAGGTGAGAGTGGGCACGGTTTTTCATATACAGTACTTCGGGGGAAGTCACAGAGAAAATCCAAGGACCGAAGACGCTTACAAGAAGGCAACAATAACGGTCCTGGTTTTGTAGCCAGGAAAAAGAGGCAGCATGAAGCCGGGCACTCAGCATCACTGTCAGCTTTCACACCCGAAATCAGGTCTCCTGCCTCCTGGTTCTCACTTTTCTAATAAGGCAAAAGTAACATTCTAAACAAACGAACAACAAAACAAGAAACAGAAAGCCCTTCTGATCTGAATTGGCAGGGTTCTTCTTTCCTTAGTAATGGCTGCCTGAGGATCTAGGCGCAGCGAGATCCCAGAGGTCCTTCCCAAGTACACAGAACACTCTGTCCATCTGGTGGGCGGAAAGGGTATGACAGCAGACAGGTCCCCGTGACTGCAGCTGCCAGAGCAGGACACACTGGACCATCAGGCCTCTGTGGACTGATGATCAGGCCACTAGGACTTAAGTTCTACCCCAGTGCTCCACAGGAAGAGGGATCTGGGGGTGCCTAATTGTCTTACAGATTTAAATTAGTCCATATTGGAATATTATACTGATGCACTATCATTTCCCAGCTTACGGGCCTTCTGACAAACACCTCGCACCATTCTCTAACCGAACATTAACATCGTGTTCTCAGTCTTCTTGGGACGGAGACAAGAATTCATTCATGTACAGCTGTTCCCCTCAAGAACCAGAGAGTACAGGAAGTTAAAGCCTCAAGGGTTTCGGAAGAAAGGCCAAGAGCCAGGCAGATGGGCTTTGAAGAGGTTTTCTCCAGGGACAAGCATCTGGAGGTCAACCCAGAGACTCCAGCCCAGCCCAGCTCTGAGCGATGCCTTTGGCACTGAGTAGTGACTGCGCGTTCAACCAGGCAGTGGGCCGTCACTAATTTCCTCTCAAGAATGAACAGCCCCTGAATGGGACTCAAAGTCCTGGCCTGTGAGGTCCCCACTCCAGAAATACTCTGCTTATATATTTTATTTTGCTTGTATATTATTGAAATACTTGGATTTGCTTTTTAAACAAAGCAATGGAAGTGAACAAACACCAAGGCATGCAAAAGCTGCCCAGCCTGTAAGGTTCCTGCAGTCTCCCCAGCGTTTCAGGGGAGATGCCCTTTGAAGGGTAAGACTGCGCAAGTGCCACATCTCCCAGGGTTCAGAAGCCAGCACGAGGGGAACTACACGAAACTCAACACACTCTCAACTGAGGGCTCGGGGAAGTAAGAGTTTACCTTCGTTTTCGAAGGATGTGAATCCAGATGGTCCCAGAAAGAAAGAAGAAAAAGGCCATGGAAATATACAATTTGGGGAGAGGAATTTCTCCTGCTGAGAGGTAGCTGTCAGGATTCTTCTCTGTGATTTCAATCTAAAGCCAACATAAAATTAATTTTTACTTTTCAGAACAGATCATTCCTTGTTCAGCAATTTGCTATCTCAGCTGTTTCACTTAAGTTTAAGAAAATGAGTAGGGCAGATAACAACCACATTCTTAATTAGCAGGTTGAAAAGTAAACACATTCTAATTGCTTTATATCTTCTTATTCATGAATCCTCTACTCAAGTATCCTGCCCACCCCACCCCTCTACCCTCCCACGGGGATGTTAGTCTGGATGCATTTTTCTCTTACTTCAGTGTTAAAACCTATTCCTGGGGCCAGCAGGCGGCGTGGTGGTTAAGAGCACTGGACTCCCACATGGTTGACTGCGGTTCAAGTCCCAGACCTGGTGGCTCTCTCACCGCCCCCCCCCACCACACTCTGTCCCACTCTGGTCAAATTAGAATAAATGAATAACATAAATAAATAAAATAAAATAATTATTAAAAAAAAAAAAAACTATTCTTGGGGCCAGGAGGTGGCGTGATGGTTAAGGCTCTGGACTCTCACATGGTTGACTGCAGTTCAAGTCCCAGACCTGGCAGCCTGAAAATCATGCCAGGCACATGTGCATGCATGCCCAAAATCCCAGGAGGAGAATGGCCAGACCCCCTGGTGGATGATTTTTCACTTTCCCTCTCACTGTCTCTCTCTGGCAAGAGCATATGCCCTATAGCAAAAAGCTAACAAAATAAAACAACCTATTCTCACTGAAAAGTAAGTCTCTTGCAGTTTACATTGCTGACAAAATCCAAGAGCGATGGCCTTCATACAGTACTCACATCAAGGCTGAATGAGAACTTGTCACTAGACCGCTGTTTATTTCCAAGGCATTTATGAAAATAAAGACTATAAAGGCCTTCTTGGTCATCAGTGCTGATATTAAAGAAAAACTGAAAGAGAAGCAGAAAAGAATTTAAGGGTACACAAATCCTCAGCAAAGTTTTTAAATCTGTTAGAAATTAGTATCAACAGGACCAGCAGTTGGCACAATGGATATGTTGCTCGACTCTCATGTAGTCGACCATGGTTCGAGTCCAGACCCAGTGGCTTAAACTCATGCTGAGCACATGTGCGTGCGTGGCCAAGATCCCAAAAGGAGAATGGAGGAGAAGGGATTGTGGTGTGGCCATCCCCCCCGGGGGGTGATTTCTCACTTTCTGTCTGTCTCTCTGTCTCTCTCTGTCTTTCTGGCGAATGCACACACCCATGGCAAAAATCTCTCTCTCAAAAAAAAAGAAAGAAAGAAAGAAAGAAAGAAAGAAACAAAGAAAGAAATTAGTATTAATGTACAGAAGGAATAAAAATGGATTACTTAGTCAAATTCCCTAAGCAGTTTTTAAACAGGTGTTTTCTCATTCTGCGGTCCCTCCAATGTTTTCTTCTAACCCTTTAAAGACAGACGCGTACTGTACGGTGAGCCCCGGTGCACCCACTCCCAGGCTCCACAGCAGCATTACTGTGCCCGTTTGACCTCACATCTATCCGTCGGTGATGGGTCTGTCTGTTTTGCACAAGTCTGTAAAGACAACCTAAGATAAAGTTATCTAGTTCCCAAGTCCTGCTCTTTATGTAAAAATAGTTTATAACAAGAACAGAAGTTCATCTTACACTTGAGAAGGTAAAAGACCAATATTCTCTCATCAAAATTTATACAAATAGGCCCAGCCAGTGGTGTGGTGGTGAAGGTAGCTGAATCCCCTGTGGCTGACTGAACAGTTCAAGTCCTGGACACAACAGCTTGAAAAACATGCCAAGTGTGTGTGCATGCACTCTCGAAACCCTGAGAGGAGAACAGAGAAACTGCTGCACAGCCACCCCTGGGGGATCCTTTCTCACTTTCTCTCCCAAACAAGTGCGCATTATACAATAAATTTTAAAAAGAAAAAATTTACATGCATGATTTTAGAAAATAATACCAAAGACTGTGCCGTCCACATTTGAACAGTTTTCTGTATTTTATCTATATTTTACAGACTCAAAACATGTCTATGGGACCAGCAGCTGGCGTAATGGCTATGTCTCTGGACTCCCATGTAGTTGACTGCAGTTCGTGTCCTGGACCGGGCGGCTTAAACTCATGCCGGGCGTGTGTGTGTGCCCAAGATCCCGAGAGGAGAATGGAGGAGAAAGGATGACAATGTGGCCATCCCCCCTGGGGGGTGATTTCTCGCTTTCTGTCTCTCTGTCTGTCTGGTGAATGCGTGCGCCCTACAGCAAAAACCTCTCCAAAAAAAGGAAAAAAAAAAAAAAGACGTTTAAATATAAACAAAGGGCATTGTGTATGTATATATGTGTGTGTGTGTATACATATATATGTGCATGTGTATATACACACACATATGTACATAAATGATCACAAGAATATGACTCTGGTCAATTCTAAGAACATTTTACTATCAGTAGTAAAAACCTTGAAAAGTTCTAGCAATAGAAAAGACTCTGGCTTGGGCCAACCAGTGAGCACCCTAGAGGTGGGAAGGGACCCAAGGTTCTGGGATGCTGGTGCTGTTCGCGTTCTCACCTTTACCGTTCGTTACTCTCAACAGAAGTACTGGGCGCTCCTCTGCACATATACTACAGCTCACACGAAAAAGAACGGGGGAAAAAAGACGTCCAACCAGAAAGAAAATAAAAGTCCAGAAACACTCAGGCTGAGATCACTAAACTGTTCAACTGTGTCTAGAAGCCATCAGGGTAAATGCGAGAGTGTGAATTTTATTAATAGTGTGCAAGAGTAGCCAGAAAAGAGAACTTTTCTTTGTTTTCTTTTTTTGGAGAGGTTTTTGCTATAGGGCGCATGTGCTCAACAGAAAGACAGAGAGAGATAGAGAGACAGAAAGCGAGAAATCACCCCCTGGGGGGATGGCCACGCCAAAAATCCCTTCTCCTCCGTTCTCCTCTTGGGATCTTGGGCACGCACGCACACGCGCCCAGCGTGAGTTTAAGCCGCCGGGTCCGGGACTCGAACTGCGGTCGACTACGTGGGAGTCCAGCAACATAGTCATTACGCTAACTGCTGGTCCCAGGGAACTTTTCTAAACATATTAATACTTTCAGTTCAAAAAGACTCACAGTTTCAGTAACCCTTCTGGAAGACAACTGTATATAGCAGGGATATTGTAATGGGAGAGTGAGACAGGGCAGAGGGACAAACATAGGGAAAAAAAATTAAAAAAAAGAGGAAGAGGAAAAAAAAACATATATATATATATGTGCATAAGCAAGAAAGTAGGAGTGGAATATTATTGATGATAACATGCTTGATTGGGTCACTGTGCAGTCTATTCTAGATGGGAAATTACATTTAGTACGCTGTGATGATGCTCAGGGAATGAATGTTAGGTAAAAAAAAAAAAAAACGAAAACAAAAAACAAAAAAAACGGTAAAACTATTCGTACCATTAAAAAAAAAAAAATGGATATTTGATGGCTGCAGTGAGCGGTATGGGCCCAGTTGGGTTCTACTTTATAGTATGCTCTTTTTACCCAATGGGGTTTAGGCCTAAAGTCAGACTTGAGTTCATGTAGAGGCATGTGTCAGCTGTGATAACTATTGGAGAGACTTAGACTAATTAAGATCACTGACAGATCATTTGGGGAGGGGTGAGGCACGGAGGGCAATCGGGGATGACAGGGACAATGTGGGAGGAGGATGGGTCATAACAGAGGGAGGGGGATGGGGAATCTAGGATGGTAAAACAAAAGGCAAGGTATGCAGGACACAAGAATTGGGAAATTATTTGCTGAGAACATATATGTTGACGTGCTTGATTGAGCCAACGCACAGTATATATTGGATGGAAAATTCATTTGAGTGTTGCGATG